TAATCCACAGAAAACCACTACGACCCACCTGTTATAATTTCATCATTTTCTTCCTTTAGTCCCATTCAATGAATGAACTATCTTAAGTGGGGGGAGGGGGGGGATATCATAAGCCAGTATCATTTTCCTTGGTCCCACTCCTTTCAAACTGCAGGATATGAACTGAGACAAGTTACTAAGTATCTCTAAGGGCCAGTTTGCTCTAAAAGAGAGAAAATAATACCAAATGCTCGAGGTTAGTGAAAGTATTTGAGACAATACTCAGTGCCTAGAATAGTACCTGGGCATACAGAGGGCACTCAATATTTGTTGGTTAAATAAATCTAATATAAAGCACCTAGCTTAATGCTTGACAATCAGAAGGCGTTCAATATACAATTACACCTAATATATCAACATTTCAGTGTTTTGTAGAGGACACCTCACCTCCCAAGTTCCTGCTTTAGAAACACATTTAACAGCACATCCAGCTGCACCCCATAGTACCTACTGCTCTTCTCTCTTCCCTTGGGGAGCACTGAGCCACAGCTTTGTTTTGCTAATTACCACACCACGTGTTTAGGTTACCTCCTCCACTAGATTATGAATAGATTGAAACAAAGCACATTCATTCCAATCCTGTCCTAAGTGTTGATCACGTGAAGCACTCCCCAACAGAGACTTACACTAAATAGATGCTCGATAAATATTTCTGACTTACTGGAAGAGTAATAATATAGAAGGCATCTTACTATGACATATAATGCACAGGTAACGCTTCCCATCACTATCCAAGTCATTAATTCTAAGTCCACTTCTGAGGAAGAAACTGAGGCTCATCAGGTCACCCGACTTTACTCAAGTTCCTCTCAAAAGTCCTTGTTCTTTTCACCAAACCACCCTGTCTCCTGAATAGGGAATTCTTGAAGGCCTTTCCCAATCTGATTTCCTAAATCAAACTCAGTTATATTTCAAGGATACCCTTTCCTGGTGTTTTGCTTTCATCCACTTGATGCATACCCAGTGCTGCCATGAATACAAACTAGTCCATAATCTCACATCAGTGAAATGACTTAACTTAGTAAAGAGGAAAGAGATAACTTGAGAATATTCCCATCGGGTAATGAAGCCCTAACAAAACGCATCTTCAGGATGCCCTGAACTTCACGATATCATATGTAAACCAACACCCATATGAATACACAAATGCCTTTAACACAGTGTCTCCCAGATAAATAGGTTACTTCAAAAACACTGTCTCCCCAAATCCTTGTGAGGAATGAGTCCTTCGACAGCAGCAAGGAGAGAGAGTTGTGGAGCAGATGTTCACAAGAGACTCACCTTGGTGAACATATTGGTCGAAGGAGAAAAGAATCCGCCCAAATCCATCACCCTTACTAAACTTACAATTCAGGCAGCCCTTACAGCTGGTAAAGAGATTCTCATTCATTTCAGAAGACTAGGCATTAAAACAGAAATGTAACATACTGTGCTACATGTATACATTATATGCCAAGGTCCTGCATTAGTTAACTCGGGAATCCACGTTTCCTGGCTCCCTGGCTCCCAGGAGTGCTGTAGCCTTTATTCTTCTCTACTGGCACAAAGTGCAGCTGTTACACTCCTATTAGCAGAGCTCGGAGCTGTGTCTACTACTCGGATAAGGGTCTAGGGAATTCCTCAAGGGCAAACACCTAGTCTTTTAGTGTTTGGCACTGTAAGAACTCAATAAAAACTGGTTAACTAGTAGAAACATTGCCAGGGGAATCACTCAGATTTCCCACCCCCTGGGACCCCAAGGGGACCCTTGTCCCACACCACACAAAGTAACTTCTCTTGTAAATTTTCCATCCTAACTATATCTATTATGAATAGATATTTATATATTTGGTTGAAATATATATTTCTTAGAAATAAACTACCAAACAAACCAGTGGAGATTATTCAAGAAACAACCCTCAATTACTCAGGGACTAATTAAATAGGACATGTTTCTTCTTTCCTTCACTATTGGGTTTTTGGATTCTTAGAACATTGATTAGGTAATCTGTAAGGAAAGAGGTATGAACTAAAACTTGTCAGGGCTTGTCAAGTTCAGTTTCATCAAATAGAAAATAATGACAGTATTTGTGACCTTTTTTTTCTGTCTAGAAGATAGTTGGTAATAATTAGAAAAAAGTAGCAAAGGCATCTAGAAAACATAGGGGGTGGGGACCTCTACATGAACCTTTCCCCTAAATCCAGTCATTTGCAGGACCCATTTCCTGGCCCCTGTCGTCTAAATACTTACTACCCTGGTTACCTATTTTCTCATCATTTCCCAGCAGACTCAAGCAACTAAAAATATTAATTACAGGACACGAATTCCCCTCACACCAACGCTTTTACTTTCATCACCCTACCATTTCCACAATTAGGCATCATTTTAAATTTGAAGTATTTATTTCATGTACTCCTTCCTATTAAATGACTAGTTGGGGATACATAAATTTCAGTTTGTGTTCAGCACCATGTTAAAGCATCGTCCCTTCTCTCAAAGAGCCAATACTGTAAAAGATAAACTACTTTTCTCCTAAGGAAAAGAAATATCTTCTGGAAGTACGGTGACAAGTCCATATAATATACACACCAGAAACCAATCTAATAATTTTAGCCAGGAATTAAATCACTCTGTTCTGCCCTAAACAACCTACTTTCTGCCCTTCACAAAGCATGGCTAAGGCAAAATGGTAAAATGGCTACCAAACATCTGAATTAATTCTTCACAGTTCTCTAAACTTTGTTTTATTTGATCCTTTCAACAGAGGAGGCAAGGCAAGCTCTATTGCTGTTTCCAGAAGGGGAAATGTAGACTGAAAGAGGTAAAGGGACTTACACAAGGTATTTAGTGACTAAACTGTCTTCTGATTGCTAGTCTAACACTCTATCTATAGTCCCAATGACTCCTCAAATGAAGATAAATAATCAGGTCTTCCACTCAGCATGTCTAAACACAAGATGCCCCATCCAAGGAAACACATTCACTCTGCCTGAACTCTACTTCTGTCTGCATGATGTTCTTATAGTTGATCTTGTCCCACTGTTTCTGTTGCACAATGCACATGGACCACATCTATTTATTTTGCTAACACTATTCAAGATGATTCGAAAGCAGAAAATAACAACGAACTCTTGTTAATGATCATTTTTATATCGGTAATTATTCAGTTTTGACATCTAGATGGCCACGAGGATTAACAGTCCTGCTCATAAAAGGTAAGGCAAATAATTTTGTTTTTGCCACACATCATCATCAACTCTTTTAATACTCAAGAGAAGAAAAACAAAAAGAAGCAGAAAGGCAGAGGGAAAGGATTAAAGGGGCGAAAAGGAAAAGGTATAAATAGTAGAAAGCACTAGAGGAGCACAAATGTACTTCAGTGCTGTACCCAAGTGAGGGCTGGCCCATCGGCCTAAGAATAACCTTTGTTCTGGAGTTAGGTACTGGATTACCGAGGACAAACCAGCACCCTCCAAAACTGCCAAAGGGATATTGCTGGACAACAGCTGTTTTCCCTATGTAGGTATGTTCTACAGTTGACAAGTCCTTGCCAACACCCTGAAAACTCACTACCACCCTATGACATGATATTTGGCGCAAGTCACCCACGTTGGATTTAAGCCACCGGAGTTATTTAA